AAAAAAAAAAAAAAAAGAAACCAACTAACCCAAATATTTTTAAAGGCCTTCCTTAACCTACCTTCCCTCAAATCACTTTTTTTCATACTTTTGTTTTACCCTCAAGTTACAAAATGGGGATTTGTCTGTCCACCTTATGCTTTGTTATCCATCCCAAATCCTGATCATTACAATGCATGTAACCAAAATGACATTTCAAAAATTCTTATTGACTTTTATATCCTTGTGCATTTTACTGAAACTAATTCATAAATTTCCAGTTCACTTAACCTCAACATGTTAAAATATTGTTTTGGTTCACTAAATTCATTGAATCATTAAAAGTAACTAAGGATTTTTATTTGAGAAAGAATGTGTAGATCATACCGAGAATAAATGAGATAACTCCTATAGGTTGTAGACAATAAATAAATAATGAGGGGTGTGGGATTTGGAGCTAATGAAACAAGATTGGCTATCAGTTGATGCTTCTTGGAGCTAGGTTAGGGTAAATGGGGGTTCATCATAGTATTCCCTGAATATGTCTGAAATGTTCCATAATAAAAGTTTTGTTTTGTTTGGTGGCATAAAACAACAAATTTATTTCCTCATATTACTGGTGGCCAGAAGTCCGAAATTAGTATTACTGGGTCAAAACCAAGGTGTTGGCAGGGACATGCTTCATTTTCATCTGGAGGCTTTTGGGCAGACTCTATTTCTTTTTTTTTGGTGGGGGGGGAACAGGGGTAGGAGGGAGGGTGAAGGGAAACTCAGAGTCCATTTCTTGTGTCTTCCAGCTTCTCAGGAAGTAAATTCTGCACTTTTTGGTACAATAGGTTAAGAAGAGGGCAAAGTTAATTTAAGTCATTTGGTGTAAGAGTGATACAATGGTAAGCTGGATAGATGACATTGCAAATTCAAATTAGTCATCCATTATTTCCTTTTACTCAAGTAACATGGAATACATATGAACAATAACATTGAATACCACCTGTGTGACAGGCCTTGAGGAAAAAAGCATCACGAGGCACAGCCTACCAGTCTGTGGGAGAGCTAAGGGAGGGAAGGGTTTAAACACAGCTCCCCTCCCCCTCTCCTGATGAAAGAGGAGGAGCATTCTGATTCTGTGGCAGTTGACAGTGGGCAGGAGAGGGCAGTTTGGGGCAGAAAAGGTGCTAAGGGAAAAGAAATGGAGTGAGATTTCTGAATGAAAGCGAAATAATCCCATGGTAAAGAAAGGCCAAGGATTAGGTTATGAACAAGGGTGTGTGGTTTGGGAACAAGTCCATGTTTTCTCTATCTTTGAAATGATTATTTAAGAGAGAAAACCAAAGATTATACAATAGTAGGCCAAGGGAAGAGTACAAAGTGGGGGATTATTTAGAAATGTTACCTTTCTCTGTATTTTTGGTCTATGATGGTATTTGTATAGATAGAAAGCATTGTTAACCAAGGTCTGGTAGGGTGGGGTTTGACCTAACTACAGAAATAACTGTACCTTGAAAAATGTCTATGGGAAAGGAAAGTGAGGATAAACCATAAGAGGGATTTTTTTGGGCCCCGGTTCTGAATCAGTATCTGAAAGGTGCCAGCTGAAGTATCTTTAAAAATTGAATCTTGGTAAAGTCTCTTGTTGCATCTGAGATTGTGACTATTCTTAATAGGCGTGTACCCTATCAAGGACTGAATGTTACTTGGGTTTTTTCATTTTTACTTGTTTCATTTGTTAGTTTTTCAGTTCTTTCTCTGTCCTAATTGTTGACTTTTGGATCTGTCATCATTTTTCTTTCTGTCTAGTTCCCCTCTTTCCCCCAGAGTTGCCAGTGGCATTCACAGCTTTTTGCCAGAAAAGACTGATTCAGGCTGCAGTCATGAAGTGATAAAATAGCAACATTTTTCTTACTTCTGGGAACTCTTGCATTTGTCCCTAATGAGATTAGAGAATTAGAATTTGGGAGAGGGAAAAAAGAAAAAGAAATGGAAATTCTTAAGGCCTTGGAGCAAATACAAAGCTATTTTCCTAGCACACATATAGTACTGTGGCATTTATGTAGGGTTGTAAGTAACCCTTGCCAGGGGATAGGGTCAAAGAGTGCATGTTTTGATTCCCCCTGGGGCAGCTGCTCTTGGTCAGTTCCCATTTCTTTCAGTGATGCCTTTGGTGTTGCCTCTTTTCCATGTCAGTTATTCTGTCCTTTCTTCCACCATCAAAAAATCCCAAGAGAGGTAAAGTTTTTTTCAAAAAAATGTCACCATGTGGATGCAGTTGATAATTTGAGAAAATTTTGAGACTACAAGAATGTTTTAATAGCTAGGAGAGATTTCTTTTGACCTTTCATGGGTTTCACATAGAAATTCCTATAGGGTTCTCTTTTTATATCTTGAAGCAAATTAATACTAGCCAGTTGTGGTTGTTCTTTGGGTCTCAGAACTTTAGGCACCATTCAAGCATATATGTTAGAGAGTACTTCATAATTCACCTAAAAAGTAAAGTGTAACTAAAATCAACAACATTTAGGGAGTTGGTATTTTAGTCTTTTGGGATATTGCCCCCTTTTAAGTTTTTCCTAAAGACTACATTCAGCAAACATTATTGAGCATTGAGCATATACTATGCAAAGCAATGTTTTTAGCCCATTTTATGAAAGGTATAGTAGCTATTCAGAGTGGCTTTCCATTAGCTAAGAAGAGGATTGCTATAGCTCCTAACATAGAGAATATTTTCTAAAGAAAGTTCCATGATAAATAATACCTCAGAAAGGAAGATTATGAATCTAGCTAGAAATCACAGCAAAGTTGTAGCCCTGCTTGGAATCACCACAGGGTAATGCCGTGAAGCAGCACTAAAATTCAAGACAAATCTACACAAAATGAGTACCTGCTTAAAAAACGTCCTCTGTTGAGGTCAAAGGTTTGAAGCTATCAAATGACTTATTAACTTTTTTTCCCTGTCATGCAGCACCTGGAAAGGACAAAAATGTTAATGTTTATTTTAGGGAATTATAGCAAAGAGGAATGGAAATGCTGTGAGAAGGAAAACAATCTAAATTACTTTGTAAAGAAAAATACTATTGTGGTTGAAAATAGAATCCAAGGAACATGTTAATTAGAAACATTTGACAAAATCTAAACTATTAAATAAACTAGACGAGTAGACCAAGAAAAAAGAAACTAAGTGTGAAAATTGTGGCTCCTTTCCATTAGAGTTTTGTGAAAATGAGCTCCAATTTTATGTAAGGCACTATTAGATATGGTGATTGATCACATTAGTGAAAATAAGAAATTTGACTCAATAGTGCAAATAAGCCATACAGTAAATTATTCATTATGTGTTTTTATTTGGCCTTGGAATGTGGGGTGTTTTTGTTTTTTGTTTGGGGTTTTTTTGTTTTGGTTTGGTTTTTTTGTTGGGTTTTTTTTTCCATATTTATCTCTCCAGGGCTTTATTTGATAGTCTGGGAACTTATTTCAAACACTGTGAAGATCTGACTCAGGAAGTGCTGGGAAGCAGTCCACTCTGTTTATCCTGACTCCTGTTCAACTTCTTCCTACAGCCCACTCCATGCTGGGAATACACAACTCTTCCTCTGAGGCTGAGGCTAACCAGATTATGCTGAACTTGCTTCTCTCCAACATTGCCTGGAGCTGGGGTAGCAGTTAAACACTTGGGTTTCTAAAGGCTGCCTTAAAAAGCTACACGAAAAGAATAGATGGCTTGTTAGTCAAATAATTTTTTTTATTATTAGAAAGGAGAATAATGTCATTATTAGGTTATTAAGTATGAAATAATGTCTGATTTCCTTAAGTACTAAGTTTGACAGTTCAGATCTGTAACGTTTCACTTTGACCTTCTTGTTTTATTTTTATTGTGAAGGTATATCCTCAGTCTTTCAAACACATGTTTTGGCTTGTGATTATCTGTCACATTTTTTTAAGAACAATTTTTGTGAAACCATGGATAAGTCAAAAAATCGTGTTATTTTCGAATACGAGTTCTGTTGTGGAACCAATGCAACGCAGACAGCTCGAAATATCAACGAAGTGTTTGGGAAGGATGTGGCTAATGAATGCACAGTAGTACGTCAATGGTTTGAGAAGTTCTGTTCTGGAGATCTTAATCTTGAAAATGAGCCTCATGGGTGACCTGAGACCAAGGTAGATAATGATGAGCTGAAAGCTGCAGTGGAAGCGAATCTATCTCAACCTACGTGTGAATTAGCAAGGTTTGACAGTTACTATTCGAACAATATTGGACCATTTGAAACATATCAGCAAGGTACAGAAGTTGGATAGATGAGTACCACGTGAATTAAATGAGCGTCAGAAGAGAAATTGTTTTGAAGCTTGCCTTTGTTGTCATGACATAAAGGCAAACCTTTTCTACACCATATTGTTATATGAGATGAAAAATGGATTCTTTTTGACAATCTCAAGCATTCAGCACAGTGGTTGGATAAAGATGAAGTGCCCAAACACAGTCCCAAACCAAATATTCATCAAAAAAACCTAACGGTGTCTGGTGGTCCAGTGCTGATATTATCCACTACAGCTTCATGAAGCCTGGTCATTTGATTACAGTGGATGTCTACTGCAGCCAATTGGGTGAAATGATGAGGTTGCTTGCGATTATGCAGCTGAGATTGGTCAATAGAGACAGGCCAGTCTTCTTGCAAGACAACGCTCAACCTCATGTGGCACACAATGCTGCTCAAACTACAGAGGCTGGACTTGGAAACTCTCTGTCATCCACTGTATTCACCAGACCTTGCACAACTGACTACCACTTCTTCCCATGGTTTGGACCACTTCTTGCAAGGAAAAGTATTCAATTCTCAACAAGCTGTTGAAAACACCTTTCAAGATTTCATCGCCACTGGCTCTCCAGGCTTCTTGACTCCTGGCATAAATAAGCTACTGCTGAGATGCCAAAACTGTGTCGATAGTTCAGGCGCATACTTTGATTAATTGTATTGCTTCTTGTTTGAGATAATAAACTACACTTTTGATTTGGAATCAGACATTTCATATTTAATGATCTAATAGATTTAAAATGAAGTAAGTAGGGAATTCAAATAAATTTAGAATTAAATGAGAATATAGCTGTAATTATATTAACAGTGTTTATGAAATATTAAATTAGTACATTCTGATTTTTATTTTAATAAGAAAGCACTTTGAAATTTTAAAAAACAGACTTTTGAATGGCTTTGAAACCTAGAATCCTGCTAGATATATCCCTTTGAATATTTAACATTAAGGGTGGTTTTGTCTTATGTGTCCTTTTTTATTTTTTTTCTTTGGATACCAGTTCTCTTGTAGCTTTATGCATTAGTTGAGTTTTGGTAAATGAAATCATTTAAAAATTACTGAGATACCTTCTATTTAAAAGGACTATGATGAATGATTTTGTTAACATAATCACCTTCCAATTTTTTTGTCTTGTTTATAATCTGAATTTTCATGTTTCAGGTGTATATTTTTTTAAGCAATAGGTACCTGCAGGCTCACATGTTATTTAAAATCTCTGTCTATAAACACTTTAAAAAGATTATTGAGCTTGCTTTTTTTCCTCTAGCTATAGAATAATTTTTCAGTTTCCTTCTTATATCTTAATTTATCTGTCATCACTAAATAGAAAATACACAGTTGCCACAGTAAGGGCTGGGGACAGTCTTAACAAAGGACTATTAATTACACCAGTGTGTTCTGGTCATTTTATTAACATTAAAATCCTTGAACTGTTGGAATGCTTAATGCTCAAAAACTGGATTTTCTGAATATTTATGTTAGAGTATTAATGTGTGTTTTGGTTTTGATAATTATTCCTGTTTTCCTTCCCTGCTCTAGTTGAATGGATTGCAGCAGTTACCATTGCTGCTGGAACAGCTGCAATCGGTTATCTAGCTTATAAAAGATTTTATGTTAAAGATCATCGCAATAAAGCAATGGTAAACCTTCACATCCAGAAAGACAACCCCAAGGTAGTACATGCTTTTGACATGGAGGATTTGGGAGACAAAGCTGTGTACTGCCGTTGTTGGAGATCCAAAAAGGTGAGGAAAAGAATTCCTTCGTACAGTGCCATTTTTCACATTTCTTTTTAAACCATTCTGTCAAACTTGTATCACCAGATATGGATATGTATCCACTCCTTTTTCTTCTTTCCTTTTTTTTTTTTTTTGAGACGGAGTCTCGCTCTGTTGCTAAGGCTAGAGTGCTATGGCGTCAGCCTAGCTCAGAGCAACCTCAGACTCCTGGGCTCAAGCAATCCTACTGCCTCAGCCTCCCGAGTAGCTGGGACTACAGGCATGTGCCACCATGCCTGGCTAATTTTTTTTTCTGTATATTTTTAGTTGTCCAGCTAATTTCTTTCTGGTTTTGTTTTGTAGAGACAGGGTCTTGCTCTTGCTCAGGCTGATCTCGAACTCCTGAGCTCAAATGATCCGGCCGCCTTAGCCTCCCAGCGTTCTAGGATTACAGGAGTGTGCCACCGTGCCCAGCCTCTTCTTTCTTTTTTAATGGGCCCCTTTCTTCTTTGTTTTCCATTTACCCTTAAGGAATATATTTACTAAAATATATAACCACTTTATAGTAAAATTACATTGTATCCTCCTTGAGTTTGGGCAAATTTAACCATATTCTTGGCCCAAAAAAGGAGAAAAATCCCTTTAATTTACTCTTAGGATTTCCTCTCCAGGTGGATCTTAGCTTCCACTATCCCAGAAAATGGAGTGAGTAGCCTAATTGAAAAAGAAACAAAAGAAGTAATTTCTTTTTTTGAGTTTTCAAGCTCTGGATACTAAGAAAAGTTTTAGAAATTTCAAAAGAAATTTTTTTTTTTTTTTTTTTTTTAATCGTGTCCCAAATGTGTTCACAGAAAAAGAAATTTTTTCTGAAATTACCCTGAAACTTTTTATCTGGTAGGTAAATACTCTAAGCTGCCTTTCAGGTACAGCTCCTATAGTTAAATATTTAACAACATAGAATTCTTAAAAATCATTTTCTTTTATGAGAATTGCATTTTATCAAGTTCCTTTTGGAAGTGTCATCTGTGATACTGGCAGGTTTTAGACATGATGACAGCCAGTGACCCAAAGATGGTAAAATCCTCTCCCAAGCTTATCTTAAAAGGATCTGTACAATGAATAACTTCAAGATTTCTGGTGTATTGTGAGAAATATGATGTAAACACTGTATATACTGTCACTATTAGCATTCAAATAAAATTGTTTTCACCAAAAAAAAAAAAAACAAACACATACATCAAAAGGCCCAAAAAATAAACAATAAAATGATGTGTCTATTTCTGAAAGCATATTATACTGGGGACCTCTTCTACAGTGGAAGGCCGTTTTCATGAGTCACATGTAACAAATTTGGAAGAAACCAAATACTACCTACACTTAGAGCATCCCTAATCTGAAAATTCAAAATCTGAAATGCTTCAAAATCTGAAAATTTTTTTCTTTCTTTTTTCTTTTTATTTTTGTTTTAGAGGTAGGTTCTCGCTCTGTCACCCAGGCTGAAGTACAGTGGTGTGATCATAGCTCACTGCAGCCTCAAACTCCTGGGCTCAAGGGATCCTCTCACTTCAGGCTCCCGGATAGCTAGAATACACACCATTGCTTCTAGCTAGGTTTTTTTGTTTTGTTTTGTTTTGTTTTTCAGATTTTTGTAGAGACAGAGTCTCACTATGTTACCCAGGCTGATGTCAAACTCCTGGCCTCAAGTGATCTTCCCACCTCAGCCTCCCAAAGTGCTAGGATTACAGATGTGAGCCACCATGCCCAGCCCCAAATCCAAAAGTTTTTAAACGCTGACCTGACATGCCACAAGTGGAAAATTTCATACCTAACCTCATGCGGCAGGTTGTGAGTCAAAGTCAAAACACAGGTGCATAACACACAGTTAATTCAGCATCCCCAAGGGAGAAAAGATTCCCTAAGTCCCCTTCAGCTGCTGCTGTTTAACAGCTAATAGAGGTATTCTGGTGATGCTACTATGCTGCTTAGTTACTCTGAACACATTTTTTCACTGTGTTAATGATATGTTATATATTTTATGCTTAAGTACTTACGTCTGAATAAGTGTAAGAAAATGATTGCTTATCCGTAGCATATAAATTCAGTTAGGAATGATGGTGATACTAAACAGCCATAGATTGTCCACATGGGTGGCTGAAGTGGGTGACACCTTTGTTTTCTGATGGTCCAATGTGTACAAACTTTGTTTCATGCACAAAATTATTAAAAACATTATATAAAATTACCTCAGGCTATGTGTATAAGGTATATATGAAATATAAATTTTGTATTTAGACTTCGGTCCCATTCCCAGATATCTCATTATGTATATGCAAATATTTGAAAATCTGAAACACTTCTTGTCCCAAGCATTTCATATAAGAGATACTCAACCTATACTGGAAAGCATAATTCACTAACTCCTTTCTCCCAGTATGATTGATGTTGTATAATCCAGTGATTTAGTGCTTAGATTATGCCATTGTATCCAGAAACTCTTTGATGAATATATGCAATTTGAACCAAAAATTAATAGGCCCATTACGACTAATTATACCTTAACAAAGCGCTGGTCATTTGGAATATGGGATTGTTAGTAAGTACTAGCAGGGTTGCTAGAAAATAAACTGTCAATAACGTGCCATAGACTGGTCCAGGTTTGTTTTTTAAAAGTGCCTGCCTAAAATAGGCTCCATTCTCTTGTTGGTTACTGAAACATAGGAAATAATGCATCTAGACATTGTGGAATTTCTAAGTTGGAGTTGTAAGAGTTCTTTAGTCAGTGATCTTAAATTCACTGTCTGCTATATATGCATACATAAGAAAAGTTAAATTGTAAAACATCCAGTGTTTATAGATGTGTATACTAGATGTATTAAAAGTGCTCTAAATAAATGGAAGATAAAAGGAAGGGATAACACCGTGGGCTAGAATTTTGGGGGAAAGCATAGTCTTAGACTTTGCTCCAAGAAAAAATGGTGGCATTTGAATAAATACAAGAATTGGGGACTCTTTCTCAAAATCTGTAAGAAAGCACTCATAAGCAAAGGTGAAATGGTTGAAGAATCTAGTCTGGTCCTTGCACTCCTTCCCCCTAGAAATAAGTCGAAATTGAGGAGGATCTCAAGGGCCAGTGTGAGGAATTTGTGTCTCCAGACATGGGACAGCTCCTTGGCAGGGGGTTGAGACAGAGTTGCGATACTTATACCAGGGTGCTAGCTGTGGAAATGGAGACAAATGAGCAAATACATGAAACATTTTGAGGGAAGGATCAGCCAGGTGTAGTGACTTTTATGTAGGAGACTGAGGGAGAAAAACTAAAGCTCATTGAAGGATCTAAGCATAAAGGATTAGAAGAGGATGGTGCCATTAATAGAAATAAGGAATTCAGTGTGAAAGCTAATTTTCCAGGACAGTGATAAGAAGTTCAGTTTTCAAAGAGTGGATTTGAGGTGACAGTTGAATGGAGTTGTTCAGCAGATGAGCTGAAATGTGGGAGTAAAGCCAAGACATCAGGGTTGGAGATAGAGATCAGCAAAACTGATGAGTCAAGTGTAGGAATGCAACTGATCCTTGATAAAGATAAAAATCAAGGGCTAAGTGTGAAGACTTGGAGAATGTTCTTCATTTGGAAAGAGGAACAAGAGCCATTTAAGAAGATGGAATGGTCCAGAGAGATTAGAATAAAACTAAAAATATTATGGCTTCAAACTGGAAAAGGGAGCAGTTTCAAAGATTAAGTACTGAACACTGGCCTGTGCAAAGACAACCAGTGAATAGACTATTTATAGTAAGACTGTTAGATTATGCAGTTGTCCTTTTGGTGTCATTTCAACAGAATAATTAGAAGTGGTGTCCAAGTGGGTTGAAGTATGAATTAACTAATAAAGAAATGCCATAAGTCTGAATGTATGTCAGATTTTCAGCAAATGTAATAGTGGATGGAAACTAATAAGGTAATGGCTTGAGCGACCACTAAAGCTTAGCTTTGAGGTCTAGTAAAGGGTGTTTGCTTTGATTGTGTCTTCCCAGAGGGTAAAGAGTCCAATAAAGTAAATAAGGACTTTTATTTAATAAACAAAGATTTCAAGTATTTCAGGAAGAACCACAAATGGACACAGGCTAGTGGTTTAAATATTTATTAGACTTTAAAATTCAACAAAACATTCCAGGATTATTCCTTCCTTTTAACAATTTAGAATTTCCAAGTGGTTAGACTAGGGATTGCCATTTCCTGTAGGTAGATTTTAAGAGAAGGAATGCCAGACCAGACATTTTATCAATATTTTTTCAACGTCTTTTTTTCCCTATCTTTTATGCCATTTCGTGGTCGTCTTTGCATCTAGGATTGGCCAGTTCTGAATTTTCACTGAATTTTGGGCATTTATTATTCCTGCATGAATCAATTAAGAGTTCACTGTGAATGTTATTCAAGTTAAGGAATGTTGTTATTCTTTAGACACCTTTGGAAACTCCCCACATTCCTGAGGTTACTAATGTTATCACACAGGTGCCAAGTCACACACTTATATGCCAATTCACAGAAGACTTGCAATTAATACCTTTGAGTGTCTATATTGAGTTTATATTCAATAATTTTTCCCTTATACAAACCAGTTAAAGTGTAATCACGAGTAGCCTGTTGTGTGTCTTTAACACTTTGAGCAGATTTCCCAACCCTAATGCCTAATGAGTCACATCTCTTAGTAATATGCAGAAATTATTTTTCTTTTTTTTTTTTTTAACACACCCCATTTCTCTTCTCCCAGGATTGGTATGTCCTCTGCCGTTTCAGAAATTGGCCTATTTCATAGTACAGTTTTCCCCCATATCGGTCAATTGGTTCCAGGACCTCCCCCAGATACCACAATCTGAGGATAACCAAATCCCTGATAAAAAGTGGTGTAGTATAATACCGAATACAGTGTAAATGCTATATAAATAGGTGTTATACTGTATTGTTTAAAGAATAATGACAAGAAAAAAATGTGTACATGTTCAGTACAAAGACAATTTTTTCTTTCCCCAAA